TAATTAAATGCCCTATACAAGTGTACTATTTAAAATTTTTTATACCATAATATTTACTGTACCTTTTCTATGTTTAGATACACAAAAGCTTACCATTGTGTTACAACTGCCTACAGTATTCAGTATAGTAACATGCTGTGGCAGGTTTGTAGCCTAAGAGCAATAAGGCTGTAACCTATAGCCTAGGTATGTAGTAGGCTATACCATCTAGGTTTGTGTAAGGGTACTCTATGATGTTTGCATAATGATGAAATTACGTAAGGATGCGTATCTCAGAATATATCCCTGTTGTTAAGCAATGTATGACTGTACTTTTGTATGACTGGCAGAGTAGTAGGTTTGTTTATACCAGCATCACCACAAACACTTGAATAATGCCTTGTTCTATGACCTTATGATGGTTATATCACTAGGTGATAAAAATTTTTCAGCTTCATTAAAATCTTATGTGACCACAATAATACATGCAGTCTATCATTGACCAAAATGTTGTTATGCTGTGAATGACTGCAATACCGGTAGTTTTGTTTTACAGTCACTGGGAACACTAAATCAGCAAATACAAAACTATTGCTCCTAGGGAAAATACAAGGTTAGGGTCCTACAAGCCTCCTACAAGTTACAACATTTTCGTCAACTGATCAACATATAAAATTTGCACATATGACATAAATGTGTGTGTGTATATATATATATATATATATATAAACACATACAGGCATATGTCAAAGATATTTTGAGTTCAGTTTCAGATAACTACATTTAAGCAAATATCCTAATAAAGCAAGTCACATAAACCTTTTGGTTTCCCAGCACATGTAAAAGTTACATTTACACTATACTGTAGTCTAAGTATGCAATAGCTTTTGTATAAAAAAGGTATATACCTTAATTTAAAAATACTTTATTGCTAAAAACGTGCTAATGATCATCTGAGCCTTCAGCAAGTCATGGTGTTTTAGCTGGTGGAGGGTCTTCCCTTGAAGGTGATGGCTGCTGACGGATCAGGCTGGTAACGGTTGCTGAATGATGGGGTGGCTGGGGCAACTTCTTCAAATAAGACAACAATGAAGTTTGCCACATCTATTGACTCTTCCTTTCAAGAAAGACTTCTCTGTAGTATGGTTTGGATGTTTGGTCTCTTCAAATCTCATGTTGATAATTAATCCCCCAGTGTTGGAGGTGGTGCCTGGTGGGAGGTGTTTGGGTCATGAGGTTTGATCCCTCATGAACGGTTTCGTGCCCTCTCAAAGACGAGTTCTACTGTTATTAGTTCGTAGGAAAGCTGGTTGTTTAGAGCCTGGCGTCACCTCTTCTCTTTTGCTCCCATTCTTGCCATGTGACACACCTGTTCCCCTTTATCTTCCACCTTGACTGGAAACTTCCTGAAGCCCTCACGAGAAGATGCTGGCACCATGCTTTTTATACAGTCTGCAAAAGCATGAGCCATATAACCTACTTTCTTTCATTCATTCATTTCCAACAATGTTCACAGTACCTTCACCCCTACAGGAGTATAGTTCATCTAAAGAAACCAATTTCCTTGCTAAGCCATAAGAAGCAACTCTTCTGGGTTTGTAGCAATTCAGTCACATTTTCAGGCTCTACTTCTAATTGTAGTTCTGCTGTTATTTTCACGACACCTGCACTGCCTTCCTCCAAGGAAGTCTTAAATCTCTCAAAGTCACACAAAAGAATTGGAATCAACTTCTTCCAAACTTCTGCTAATGTTCATATTTTGATCTCTTCTCATGAATTACTAATGTCCTTAATGGCATCTAGAATGGTGAATCCTTTCTAGAAGGTGTTCAATTCACTTTGCCATAACAAATTCCTTTATGTTGCTTATACCACCAAGAGAAAGATATTACTGAAGATACTTACTGGAGATATTATAAAATACATCTTTTTCAAAAATTTTTTTAAGATTGTAGAAATTTTCGCCATCAAATTGGTACTAACACTATGGTGCTCAAATGGTGGTAGTGTTCACCAGGGATTTGGAGGTTGGGGGGGCGTAGACCCACATCTGAGGGATGTGGTGAGCATTGTGGAGGGAAGGGCATACCTCTAACCCATCCTGGGGAGAGAGGCAAAGATATAAAATGTAACCAAAATGTTAAAAAAAAAAAACAAAAAAACATTTATTGGTGTCGGGCAGGTGGGGGGGGAGGGATGGGTATATACATACATAATGAGTGCGATGCTCACCACCTGTGGGATGGACACACAGGAAGCTCTGACTCAATGGGGGAGGAGAGGCAAGGGCAATATATGTAACCTTAACAACATTTGTAACCCCATAATATGCTCAAATAAAAAAAAAATATTGTAGAAATTAGCGTCGACCCAAAGCCTTTTAATAAACTAGTAGTCTCTTGATGCTCTCAATCTGTGTTGTTATGGCAACACAAACTAATTCACCTAACAAATATAATTATTTATTTTACCTGACAAAGAGTTGAAAAATAATAATGCAATATTAACAAGAGCAATGCAATTACTGAAGAAAGTTAAAAATTTTCTAATACCAGCCTGAGCAAGAGCAACACCCCATCTCTACTAAAAAAAAAAACAGAAACAAATTAGCTGGACAACTTAAAAAATTTTTTTTCTAATAATTCCTTTTGCTTTTAGACTGAATTCTACTAATGATGTGCAGTCAAGGTAATTTGTTCAAGAGTTACCCAATTTCACACTATGCCCAGACTTAAAAAAAAAAAAAAGTCACCCAATAGTTCCCTATGGTCATGCTACTCCTTAACTGATGAACAGTTTGGTTCAGTTTCAGTTTGTTTTGTTTGTTGACATCCTAGCCAGCAGACAGTTCTAAGCTCATAAAATATCGTAGCTTTCTGTTGCCAATAGAGAGAAGGATATACTCTACTCTGAGATGATGAAAAACACTCAAATGGCTCAGTCTTCAAACTTTTGCACTATTTCATTTTGCAATTATGTGATCCATCTATGACTAAATATATAATTTTAAGCACAAGATTCATATACATGCTCTCGGGCTGATTAATTCTCCACCTATTATTTCTAAAAGTAAAATATACTTTCATATATTCACTAATTGTTTTTAAAATATGCTAAATCCTTTAGCAAAGCTTTTTAAAAAGCAAGCTTTTTAAATTTATCTTGCTTCTTTTCCCAAGCTATGAACTTTTAAAATTTTGTAAGATTCCCAGACCAACTTAATCATGTGTATTGTTTTTTGGTTTTTTTGAGATAGAGACTCGCTTTGTTGTCCAGGCTAGAGTGAGTGCCATGGCATCATCCTAGCTCACAGCAACCTCAAACTCCTGGGCTCAAGCAATCCCGCTGCCTCAGCCTCCCAAGTAGCTGGGACTACAGGCATGTGCCACCATGCCCAGCTAATTTTTTCTATATATATTAGTTGGCCAATTAATTTCTTTCTATTTATAGTAGAGATGGTTTCTCACTCTTGCTCAGGCTGGTTTCGAACTCCTGACCTGGAACAATCCACCCGCCTCAGCCTCCCAGAGTGCTAGGATTACAGGTGTGAGCCACTACGCCTGGCCTAATCTTGTGTATTGTTAACCAAATGTCTCAGACTGCTTTCTGTTGCTTACAACACAATATCTGAAATTGGGTCATTTATAAAGAAAATGAATTATTTTTATATTTATGGAGGCTGAGAAGTCCAAGATTAAGGGGCTGCATCTGGTGAGAGCCTTGCTGCTGGTAGGGACTCTGCAGAAAGTCCTGAGGCAGCACAGGGCATCACATGGCTAGTTTGCTCAGGTCTCTTTTCCTCCTCCCACCAGCCCCTCTCCGATCATAACCCATTAATCCATGAACTCATTAATGTATTAATTCACGAATGGGTTAGTCCATTCATGAGGGCAGAGCCCTCATGATCCAATTACCTTTAAAGGCCCACCTCTCAATATTGCCATCTAATACCCACTTAATACTGGGTATAAAGTTTCAACATGAGTTTTGGAATAGACATTCAAACCAGAGAACCAAAGTTTACCTATCTAAAGGATTCTCCCAATCAACATTAGCTTGATTCCATTAGCGGTTTTTCACTTTCTTAAAGTTATCAGGGAGATTATCTAGTACCTTCATATTCCTTATGATTAACAAAGAATACATGTAAATTCAGGGTTTTTAGGGCTTAGCTTGAAATGTTCATGTATCAAATTCTGACACACACACATATATAGCTATTTATATTTTCATATATATGTGAATATATTTTTTCTTTTAGAGACAGGGTCTTGCTCTGCCACCCAGACTGAAGTACAGTGGCACCTGATCATAGCTCACTGTAGCCTTGAGTTCCTGAACTCAAGCAATAGTCCTGTTTCAGCCTCCTAAGTAAGTAGAACGATAGATGTGACACCATGCCTGGCTAATTTTTTTATTTTTCGTTTTTCTCAGAGACGCGGCCTCTAAAAAATGTTGCCTAGGCTGCTCTTGAACTCCTGGCCTCAAGCGATCCTCCCACCTCTGCCTCCCAAGTATCTGGGATTACAGGTGCAAGCCACCAAGCCCGGCAAATATATGTTCTTATTTTAGTTGTATAAACAGTACAGAAAAACAAAATTCCAGAAACTTTTAGTTATGATTTTTGGATAAATAAAATTACCTATGACTCCTAAAGCTTTGGGAAATTCCAACTTCCCAAAGACAAATGATTTCATAAAATACAATCACACTATGCATAAAAAGTACAATAAGATAACTAGAAACTATCAGTTATAACAACTTTAAAGGATACCTGTAAGGCTGAAATGGAAATGTTTCTATGGGTTCAAATAATTTTCAGATCATCTGGGTCCTGCTAGAACCAGCTCATGAGACACAACTGTTTATAATAATTCACTGATTTACATCATATTTACATGAGGGTTTAATATTTAGCTTTAATAGAGAAATCTAAATTCTTGCCTAGTTTCAAATGTTATGCCTGAAATTTCAAAGTTTGCACTCTGTAGTAACTGCACATTCTTTACATTTTTTCCTAGGGTCTGCATTCCTACTGCTTCCAGGGCTTAATTTGATATTGAGGCAATTTAAGAAGTGATTCCTTAAAAAAAGGAGGAAAGCAGGAAGGAAGGAAATAAAAAGGCAATCTTCTGGGATCCTCAGAGGAGTTAAATATGAAGGCATAAGGATAATTTATTTAAGAAAAGGCACAAAAATACAGAAGTTAGTTACTAAGGTTTATTTGGGCACTTTTTTTTTTCAAACTACAATTTCCGCAATATAGTCTAAGAGGATCTCCTCTGTGATGTAAGGGTCTGTTCTTGGGCTCTTGAGTGCTTTGAAAGGTAACTACAAAGACTTTTCCCTGCAAGGTTCTTAATGCAGTTTTGCAACCTCTCCTGTGTTATCTATGAGGGTGGCAATGAAAAGTTTTCATTTTTCCCTTTTAAGTCTCATCTTTCTTCTCACTTAGGACACCTGACCAGGATAGGATTTATTCAGGTTTTCTCTCATGATGGTCCCAGGAAAAAGTAATTTGGGTCATTTAATGTATGCCAGTTCCATCTAGTAATATATTTTTGAGCTTGGGCATCATAATGGTATATGTGCTATAAACTGATTCAAGAGTTATCTCCCTTCCTGATTTCTTGAAATGAAAAGCACTCATAAGAGAGTGAATCTGACCTAGAGACAAAAATATAAGACCCACAGTTAAAGTAGATCCCCTTTATGGGATAAGGAAGGATAACATAAACTGACTTTAGTCCCCATCTGAGAAGACAAAAGTCTTCCTGAACTCTGCATGGCCCAGGACGGAACTCTGACAGGAGTCCCTCAACATTTGAGGGGAGACAGGCTAGAGTATGTCAAAGGGTCTTAACAGCATGTGTGCTGCCGCAATTTAGTAGCCTGCCTCCCCTGACTTCAGGTTCTGGAACTGTTACAAACTATGATAAAGTGTTTTGGAAATAAGACCAAAGACCATAGAGTTGCAATTTTATGAAATACAACTTGGTGTTTACTAAAAAAATCTGCCTGAAGAGAGTATTTACTAGTCTGAAGTCAGGCGACTGCTTCGCCTCAGTTTATAACACACAGTTTTGTTTATACATGAGCATATACTAAGATCCCAGCTACCCTCTACTTTATCAGAAATTATTTTGGGATCTGGGAGGAAGGGCCTAGTACTCTCCAATTTCTTGTACATATCTGAAAAGCAATTTCAAGTTTGAAAGTTTGACAATGGAAGAGCAATAAGAAATTAGGTAAAATAGGCCGGGCGCGGTGGCTCACGCCTGTAATCCTAGCGCTCTGGGAGGCCGAGGCGGCAGATTGCTCGAGGTCAGGAGTTCAAAACCAGCCTGAGCAAGAGCAAGACCCGGTCTTGATGATAAATAGAAATGAAATTAATTGCCAGACTGAATATATATGTAAATTTAGCCGGCATGGTGGGCACATGCTGTAGTCCCAGCTCTCGGAGGCTTGAGGCAAGAGGATTGTTGAGCCAGGGAGTTGAGGTTGCTGTTGAGCTAGGCTGACGCCAACGGCACTCACTCTGAGCCTGGACAACAAAGTTGGAGACTTGTCTCAAAAAAAAAAAAATATTAAAAAAAAAAAAGAATTAGCGTAAAGTGATGACATTGAAAAAAGAGAGCGGGCGAGCGCGATGGCGCGCACCGAGTTAAAGTCCCAGCGAGCGCGAGAGAGCATTAGGCGAGGAGAGGGCGTGCTTGAGTCCAGGAGGTTGAGACCAGCCTGGACTACATAGTGAGACCCCATCTACACATACACACACACAAAAAAAAACCGAAGAAGTATTGGTCGGGCATGGAGGCATGTGCCTATAGTCTCAGCTATTCATGAGGCTAAGGCAAGGAGGATCACTTGAGCCCAGAGGTTCAAGGTTATAGTGAGCTATGATTGAGTCACTGCACTCTATCCTGAGCAACTGAGCAAGACCCTGTCTCTAAACAAAAAACAGGACAAAAGGATACAAATATACATTCTGAAATCAAGGGAATCACAGTAAACAATGTAAAACACACATGAAAGGAGATCCTTTATTTGAAACAGGAGCAAAAGAAAAAACCAAACGCGTTTTTTTTCTACTCTAGCTCTTAATAAAGGTCGCCAAAATTTGTGATTTCTCCCCATAAGCAACCAGTTCTGAAACAGACACCAGCTAGGTGTCTGCTAATTCTGACCCTACCTACCTGCAGATAGTGTCAGATCCCACAGGTAGAAGGCTCCTTTCCACAACTATCTCCTACTTCAGATGCCAATCACAAGCCCAGGATGATGGCTATAAAGGGGGTGTGTGGGGGGTTGGGGGGTTTTTGTGAGGTTCCCATGACCCCCGACTCCCATCCTTGAGTTTAACTAATTTGCTAAAGCAGCTCATAGAACTTAGGGAAACGCTTTACTTATGTTTACCAGTTAATGATAAAGGAGATTACAAAGAATATGGATGAACAAGCCAGACAGAAGAGAAGCATAGTCTGGGCGAGGTGGTTCACGCCTGTAATCCTAGCACTCTGGGAGGCTAAGGCAGGAGGATTGCTCAAGGTCAGGAGTTAGAAACCAGCCTAAGCAAGAGCGAGACCCCGTTTCTACTAAAAATAGAAAGAAATTAATTGGCCAACTAAAAATATATAGAAAAAAATTAGATAGGCATGGTGGCACGTGCCTGTAGTCCCAGGTACTTGGGAAGCTGAGGCAGGAGGATGGCTTGAGCCCAGGAAGTTTGAAGTTGCTGTGAGCTAAGCTGACGCCACAGCACTCTAACCCAGGCAACAGAGACACTGTCTCAAAAAAAAAAAAAAAAAAAAAAAAAAAAAAAGAAGAGACACATAGGACAAGGTTACATGGGAAAGGGTGAGGAGATTCCATAGCCTCTCTGGACATGCCACCTTCCAGGAATCTCCACATGTTCAGCTACTGGGAAGCTCTCCAAACCCAGTCCTTTCGGGATTTTATGAAAGATTGATTAAGTAGGCTTGATTGATTAAATCAATGGCCATTGGTGATCAGCTCAACCTTCAGCTCTTCTTCTTCCCCAGAGGTTGGGAGGTGATGCTGAAAGCTTTGACACTCTAATCATGACTTGGTCTGTCAGGTGACAGGCCATCATTCTGGAGCTTTCTAGCACTCCTAACCACCAGTCATCTCATTAGCATACAAAAAATACTCTTATGATTGCAGATTCCAATGGTGTTAGGAGCTGAATTTCAGGAACCAAAGAGGAAGCCCAAATATATTTCACAATATCACAGGGAGTCACAGGACGCATTTGTCTCTTACCTTCTCGAAAAAATGACAAGGTGGGGAAAGGAGACTAATTTCCCTGATTTCATTATGAGAAAAATATTCAAATCAGTAGACAATAATACACATGGCAAGTGCCAAGCTGTTCCAGAGATAAGTTGTAACTGCCAAAATTTTTCTCAAATTTCCTTTCCTCTTTATACTATATATAACCAGCACAACCATTTCTACCTCTGCTTCCTTGATTATACATGTTACAAATAAAGTGAATTATCATTACTCATGGTAGTTATGTCTCACAAAGTCCACAAACACTGAATTAGTGAACCAATGCTCCTAGGGCACTCACAGGGTTAGGTTCCTGCAAGCCTTGGTATTTTTGTCAACAGATTAATACAATATGTTGTTGATCGAACAGCACTAAAATCCCTGCCAACAGCACTATAACTCATGCATAAATGAAGCTTATCTAACACACTTATTTTTTCCTTAAGGTACATCACAGCCTTCTTCAGCTTAGGAACATTACATAGCACCTCAGAAGTATACTTAAAGTCATTTTAAGCAGTAGAATCACCAAAGAAAAAAGCACAGAAATGAGAAAAACATGGCACTAAATAGTTTGCAAAAAGGATAACTGTTTATAGTATGAGAGCTGAAAGAAGGCAGAGTGCCACCATGTTTGACTTCTGTTAGGAACATGTGTATCAGGTGACTCAAATCTTTGTCCATGAATGATCTCAAAATTACTGAAAATATTGATTTTGGGGTTAGAAATAAATTTTAGCAAGTAGGCAACTTCACAAATATGAAATCCACAAAGTAATAAAGATCCACTGTACATAAGTACAATTTCTTCACTATGAATGAAAAGAACAGTCGTCTCAATAAGGTTGTCATAAACCAGGACGGGAAATTCAGGAAAAGAGAATCTAATCTTAACTGCCACCATGTACCACTAAATTCTCAGGCAACTACAGGAACGTGGCAACCAATATTCTTACCTCTCTTTATAGTAAATTTTTTATATTAAAAAACTTCAGTTGGTCATGGTGGCTTGTGCTTGTAATCCCAGCTATCCAGAAGCTGAGGTAGAGGACTGCTTGAGGCCAGGAGTTCAAGAGTAGCCTGGGTGATAAAGCAAGACCTCATCTCTAAAAAAATTTTTTTTAATAAAAAAATTTCATAATCCATTAAGTAGGCCAACAAAGATTTAACAGACATCGCTCAAAGAAATGACTAATTAATTTCACCTGTATTTTCATTGTAAAACATCAAGATGGAATGATAAGGTTTCTCAGAATCAGGTCGATATTCTAATTCAATGAAAATTTATAATCTCAAATACCTGTCAAACCTATTCCTAAATATCTAGACCAGAGTTAATTTCATCATCTTTCCGAATTAAGCAAGTAAACAACCGGATTTTTCCTATGTTAAACCTCTATCATAGTTTAAGTCTATTAGAGTACTGAACCCTTCTAAATATAAAGAGTTTAAAAATCATGTCCACAATAGGTAGCTCATCTTCTAATTTTCTTCCTTTGACTAAACAAACTTAATGCTTAAGATTTTCCACTTTGGGCTCTAGCAGTACATAGTGCTACAGCCTGTATTCCAGACTTCCTAAATTACAGAAAAAGAAATGTACACTTTTTATATTCTTTCAGAGCAGGGCTGTGAAGCAACACTATCTACCATATTAGGTAGCTGTATACATGGACTACCCTATTGCATGTATTTCAAGTACTTTTTTTTTTCAGCTACACATTAACTCAACAGCAATATATGTTCCATTAGAATAAAATGTCTTAAGCAGGAGATGCTGGAAGACATCTGGGGTGTCAATGAAGTTCCCATTTAATGAGTCCTAGGATTGTTCTGAATCGAAAATCATACATAGCCTTTTATCGGGTGCTCAGATAGGTCTATAGTATCACTTCATTGGATTCTCTTATTTTCCAAGCTCTAATGTGTGGGAGAGTCTGGTATAATTTGACATCATTTAGTGTCTAAATCTGTTTTCCAAAGTTCTGACACCCCTAAGAAGTATAATTTTACAAACAGGGATAGACATTTTGGTTTCATTCTTATACTCTTATAATTAAACATACTATATTTCTAGCACTTGATAGACTTTAATTATTTTCAAATATATCTGGATTACACCTCAACCTACAACAGTTCATGAAGTTCATGATTTTAAATAAAGGCAAATTAAATCATACCTGAATCTCTAAATATAAATACATTAAGGTGATAGTGACACTTGTAACTGCTTCAAAATTATTGAAAAATATGTCATTTTCTTGAAATGAACTTGGTATGAAAAGCAGCAAATAGGTCTTTATAAGGAGTCTTTGAATCTGACTTGGTCAAGGGTATTCTGCAAAGTTGGCGAAATCCAGGAGAACGCAGCAACAGGTTCTGTGAAAGGCCCATGAGGCTGGAACATAACCAGTAGAGAGCAATTGACTACAAAGAAAGGACATGAATATTAGTATCTGTGCATTTTGCAAGGACACCACCGTCCAGAGATAGGCAGACAATAAAAATAAAGTGACAATCTCTGTAAATACAAGTACACCAGGACCAAGCAAGACCTGCAACAGCTACTAGATTCCTATGACGGATCTAATAGATAGGCAAGAAAGGAGGTCAAAGAAAAGACCAAAAAGCAAAAAAGAGAGGCATTACAGTAATGGACAGGAACTCCCAGGGAGAGGCCCAAGAGAGATTTCACCTCTCCTCTTTGGCAATTCAGCAAACTTTTTCCCCACAGAGAGTCCTGGCAAGCTGTTTACACTGAAAATGGGACAGTGTGGGCGTGGTCGTTTATGATGGCAAGCATAGCCTCCCTAGACTTTATTTGTCCCCATACAGTCATCTATCTTCAAATTTATCCCAGTAACGTTTCTCGGCTTAGTCAGGAATGCCTTTCCTTTGGCTTCTGAGACAAACTGTCTTAGCTGTATCTTCAACGTTCTTTTGTATTACTATCTGGACTGTTTATTCAGGTCAACAACTAAGTCCCACAGCCTCTCAAAACACTCCTATACATACATCTGTTCCAAACTTTTCTTGGACATAGGAAGGCAATCAGCAGTTGTTGAGTCCAGGTCCTGGAGTCAAACAGGTTTCAATCCCATTTGCCATTTATTTAACTTTAATAAGTTACTTATCTTGTTTCACTTTCCTCATCTAACAAAAATACTCTATTTCCTTGCCTCTTCTGCAGCTAGGCATGGCCACATAACTCAGATATAAACACAGCTCATTGGCGGGATATCTGGCAAGGCTCCTTAAATGGAGCTGACTGGACTTGAAACACCCCTTGTCATTCCTCCAAGATAACAAGTTCCAGCAGCCATCATGACCACAGGCTGTGGCCTGTGGCCTTGAAGACAGAAATCTCAGCCTGTGGATGACAGAGCAGAAAGCGAAGCAGGCTGGGTCTCACATCTTCATGGACTTGGCACATCATGCCTAAGTACTATGAAGTCACTTTTATATATGCTGTTAGAACCCTAACTATAGCAACAAATGAATTCTACTTTATGGTCTATCTGTTGGCTACGAAATATACTTACAGGACAAAGAGTTTGCTTAACAATTTCTAAAATATCAGTGGGAAATATGCAAGAGATTGAAATAACTGCAAACATAACCATTTCTTTTTCCATTTCTGGCATAGGCTTAATTAGGTATAAACAGAGATAAGTGTACCTATCTTACAGGGTCATTACAAGGTTAAATAATATATTAATATATGAACCCATGGTGCTAGGCACAAAGTGCTGCTGCTTTCTTAAGTGCTAAATTCCTTGGTCTAGTCTATGTCGGCAGAAAGAATTCAATATATTAATCAAATTGAACAAATATTATATTCCTAGTATTGTGCAAGAAGTAGGAAAAAGAAGTTTGATTTAGTAGGAGAGTTAAGATACATTCACATAAAAGATTAATAAATCCCAAGAAATAAATTTAAGGATGTGAGGGAGATCTGGCTGCAACGCCTCTCACCCCATGCATTGCCAGGGTTGATCTGGCTGATCTGTCCCATTAGGTGGGTGCCCTTTCCTCCCTCACCGCTCCATGTGTGCCTCTCCCGAAACTGTGCTCGGTCAAAAGGATGACTTTCCTCGATAGAAGAAGACCATCGTCATTCAAGCTGTGCTCCCCTGCTAGAACCTGCAAACAAGCTCCCAAGAAACATTCAAGCACATAAGGTGACAGAGACAGTACATTAGTTATTATAGAAACTCTGAAATCAATGAGGGATCAAGTAGTCAGAAGAACCTCAAGAGAGGAGGCAGGGCAATGTAAGCTAAGGACAGACAGGATTTAGCACATGCCACACACAGCGTTGGTGCCTACTCACTGAAGGTACTGTTGCGGCAATTGGAATCATCAACACCGATACTACACGGACGAAGTGTGTAATATACATCTGAAAACGAGACATTCCAATTTTTTGTAGAGCAAAAATCTGAAGAGGTAGAACATATACACACACAATGATTATTAAAATGCATATTCAATCAGATAAGATTTAAAATACAAACTGATCTTTGATAGGCTTCTACCTATACTTTCCTAAAAGCAATAAAATTTAAATGACTGATAATTCATCTTTTTTTTCCTTTTGAGATAGGGTCTGGTTATGTGGTCCAGGCTGGTCTCCAACTTCTGGGCTCATGCAATGATCCTCCTAATTTAGCCTCCCCAAAGCTGGGATTATGGGTATGTACCTGGCTTGATCAACCATCTCTTAATGAACTTAATAATTATGTGAAATTCTTAAATGGAGCTTTTTTGACATTTGGTACCAAAAAACACAAGGGCAATGATTCATATACAGTACCCATCTTCAAGTTCCATGTAAGAATTCTACATAATTCTTAATATCATCATGATTATAACTGGAGTCAAACTACTTAGTTTCACATGGCAACCTTCCATTTTTAGTGGCTATGCAACTTTGCACAAGTTATTTAACTGTCCTGTGCCTCATTTTCTCCACCTTAAAAGGGAATAATAAGGATAGTACCTAGATCACAGGGTTATTCTAAGAATTAGCTGATTCATATAAATTGCTTACAACAATGCCTGGCATATAGTATATATTAAGTAAGAATCAGCTTTTATTAGACCTTAGATGGTATAAGGGAAAAGACTAGAGGACTGCCATTAACTCATCATGCCCTTGTGTCTATCACTTCCTTCTCTACCAAATAGTCACTGAATATGAACCACAGAGAACCGTGCTAGGTGCTCTTAGGAAAACACGTTTAAACTACAAGTGGAGTCTTTCCTCAAGAAACTTTCACTCAAGACATTAGATTCTATCATCTTCATTTTTCTCATCTGAAAAAATAAGGGGCATATTAGATTTCCCAGTATATTAGATCGGCACACTTGACATCTTGAGATCTCAACTGAGGTAAATCATTTCTAAGGTTTCTTCCATTTGAGTCTATGTTCTGCTTAGAGTCTCAGAACAACTGCTTATGAAATTACAGGCTTTATGTCCCTGTTCAGGCATATGCATGCATGAATGAATAAATAAATGAAAGAAATTATAGGCATTCTTCCCTAAACTGTTGAGTAAAGCAGCAAAGGATAATGGATAAAATGACTAACAGGTCATATTTTATATGTATGTGCTTTTCCCACTTCATCTCATAAAGAAATTCAATGACTCTTCTAATAGCAAGAAGATGGTAGTAAGGTACTATGTTCCCTGCCTACAAATTAACCTTTAAACATATACACAAAACACCACTGCACTGTGGGAATAAAATTAGATTGATTGGGCATCTTACTTACTATCTTTACCAAAAGCAAATCACAAAACTGTATATATTAGAATATTTTGAGAATAATTTTAAGGCTGAAAGAGACTTTGGAAGTATTCAAATTCAGTGCTCTTATTTTAATTATGAGAATTCTGCAACCCAGAGAAGTTAAGGATCTGGTTTAAGTCAATGTCTGATCTGGGACCAGAGACCGGGGGACACTGTCAATACTAGTTCAGAGCTATTTCCACCAACCCAAACATAATGTATACTTGATATCAGGAGAAAAATCCCAATGAATCCCAATGATTTAAATGGCAAACTTCATTTAAAACCACTGACCTCCACTATTAATAAGTTGACGACACCAACAGAGACAGGCAGAATCCAAGTGGAATCGAGAGCAGTAAGGTCAGGAAACCATAGGACCCCGCCAGTAGCTAACTGCTCCTGAACAGAAAAACCTGCTGAAATAGTTTTATAAATAAAGCAACAGAATTCCTAAAAGTAGCAGAGAAAAAATACATGTGTAGTCTGACAATTCTAATAAGGTGTCCTTTACACTAAAGATATGCAATGGTTTTATTCAAATTAGTTTCACATCATTTTCTTCACTCAACACAAAATGTTTTTTCTCAACACAGCTGGTCTGTGTACACTTACAGATTTTAAAATCTTATACTAAAAAAAAAAAGCTAAATTCTGTTCTCTTGTAAGGAACACAGTAAACATTCTAATTATGGAAATATGGGGGGGGAGTTGGAGTACAAAGACATGTTAGAGAACTTATTTGGGAGAAGCAGCCTTCTATAACAATTACCTTCTGAATTTGTTGCCCCTGTACTAAAATTCCGGAGAGCAACAGACATGAAGATCCACACTGGAAGCTGAATCCAGACCAACACAGTGGCTTTGAAAGGGTGGCAGTTATCCCGAACATACAGCTCTGAAACAAACCTCCTCATATTCTTTAGATAAGTGAGCCTAGATTGAGGGAAGGGGAAAAAAGGGAAAAGAGAAAATGTCATGAGGCCAGGCTTGGTGGCTCATACTTACAATCCTAGCACCTTGGGAGGCCGAGGCGGGAGGATCACTTGAGGTCAGGAGTTTGAGAGCAGCCTGAGCAAAAGCAAGACCCATCTCGACTAAAAAGAGAAAAAAATTAGCTGGGTGTGGTGGAGCATGCCTGTAGTCCCAGCTACTGTGGAGGCTGAGGCAGGAGGATGGCTTGAGCCCAGGAGTTTGAGGATACAGTAAGTTAGTCTGCTGCCATGACACTCTAGCCTGGGCGACAGAGAAAAAGACTCTGTCTCAAGAAAAAAAAAGAGAGAGAGAAAAATGTCACGTAACTGTTAATTGTGCTGTATCCCCATGGCACAAATATATCCATGCTGTGGTTATTGGCTAAAGGATTTGTGTAGGGATTTTAGTTGTCACAACTGTGTTAAGGCGCTGCCTAAACAAAAGGTGAATAAAGCCTTTTACTGAAACTTCTATAGCAATGTACTCAAATTAATTACATAATAATCTAACAAAGTCAGACTATAGGTTTGTTGCTGGTGGTCTTTAGAAGATTATGCTTCAACAGGGGAAATTTCACTACTGACATGGTATAATCACAATTAATATCAGAAATACTGAAATTAAAAGCACAGTTTACTCAAATCTCCCCACTCCAGCCAAACTCAGTCACTTGATCCCTGAATATAACTTTGGTAGCTATGTGGTTTGGTACTACTTATACTTTTGGACTGTCAAAATGGTCTCCATTTTTCAATCAACTCTTTCATGAAGACTTTTTAAATCTGTTTGTCTGTTAACTGTCAAAATGGTCTCCATTTTTCAATCAACTCTTTCATGAAGACTTTTTAAATGTTTCTCTGTTAACTATATTAGTTATTTCTATTTTTGCTGGAAGTCTTACTTTCTAGACTACAGTCTCCTTGAAGAGAAAGTGCTAGATCTTACTCATCTTTAAATCTCTTATCTCATAGATTTTTTTACAAGGCAGGCATTCAACAGTTTTGCTGAATCTAATCAAATTATAGTGTACTAAAATAAGATAGTAACAAAAACATTCTAGGCCCTTTATAATTTAGCATCTGTCTATTCTTCCAATTTTCTCTCTTATCACTCCTCCACAGACACCTGCATATTCTGGTCCCTAAATGACTTTAGGTCATTCAACAAATCAGACTTCCACATCAGCATGCTTTCGAAAGTACTGCATTATACCATCTGTGTGGCCAGCCCATTTTCCTGGCTGTCTACCTGACAAACTTCCTTTCACCCTTCAAGACTTGATACTATTGAAAAATGCAAGAAGACCTCAGATGTGTCTTCCTACAAAACCACTCATCCACGTACAGATGTATCTGGACAATCATCCTGCCAATGCTATATAAGCCAGATGCTACAACTCTTATCTAGGCTGCATTTATAATCCAGGTGAGCAGCTGTTTTTTGTTTTTTTTTTTTTTGGCCTATGGCTGTAGTTTTCAGACCTCTCTGAACAGTAAAATTTTAAAACTATAGGTTTGTCAACTTTCAATTTTACCACATAAAGACATTAAGCTATTGCAATGATTTTTTTAAAATGTCAGGTCTTTTTAACACTAAATAAAGATGGGACACAATCTCATGTTAAACATAGTTGGCAACTTTATACCTACATAGCTAAAAAATATATAGATAAAAATAATAATATATATAACACATATTCATACTATGAAGCTCTTATGTTTCTCATTGCTATGAAGTGAATACTCTGTTACAGACTAGTAAGAATCAGAAGTTGAATACTGATTAAGTAGTATCTTAGCTGACTGAAGCAGGAGGACTTAGAAGTTCCCAGTGAATGGCTGCAGGCATCGCTGGGTATAGTCAAGCACCCTCAGATAAAGGCTTTCCAAGAGTCCAGGCAGATAATTGCATGGGATAACCATAGTCGATGGCACCTTGGCTACCCAAGCTTCCACTGTGGCACTTACATTTTCTACCTTCCCTTTCCTGTGCGCTATTACCTGCTATATCTTTTCAAAAGGGTCAAGTTTGAAAATAGCCTATGTCATTTGTTGACCAATATCACACCAGAATGACAAAAGTTATCTTCATCCTGTGAAGACTTCCTTGACGTTCTTTATATAGTACTTAATTCAATGCCATCATTATTTGATTACAGGTCTGTCTTTTCAGTGGGCTAGAGTCCCTCAAGAACAGAAACATGTTCTTCTTATCTTTGTTTCTCTATTTCTTTGCTTTCAGTCCAGTATATAAAACTATCATACCATATAGCGACCTATTAAAATATGAAAGATTAAATAACTACTTTACTGTTATATGTGTGTGTGTGTGTTCATGGTCTTGCAAAAAATCAGCTTACCTGGCAAATCTTTTGGACCACCCCAACTGATTTGCACGAACTGCAACTTCTTGGTTAAGATGCCTGGCAATGTTTTTAATTTCTGGCTGCAAATTTTCCACCTAGCTAAAGAAAAAGTAGAATTTGTTATGAGCACATAAAGGATCTATATTCATACTCAAAATTTTACTGTCTATTCCTTCAACTCATTTAAAAAGGTGGTCCACTGTCATGTCAAGACATCTAAAGTCTAAGCATAAGATGCTAATTTGCTTAAAATGCCCTCAGTCACATCCAAATTCAAATTGTACACTTAGCTGTGACATCCCGGGCAAGTAAATGCCTCTAAAATGCTGTTGCCCCACATATAAAATATATAACAGCACCTACTTCACAGGGTTGTAAGAATTAAATGAGAACTGCATCCTGGGTTTTACTCCTTCATCCCTAGATTTCCTGGTAACATAAATGGAGAAAACAGCAGTGCATTAAGAGTCTTTATTAGACTCTGATAGCTAATGTAAAACTAATTAAAAAAAATTTTTTTTTGTAGAGACAGGGTCTCACTGGGTTGCCCAGGTTGGTTTTGAATTCCTGGCCTTATGATCCTCCTGCCCCAGCCTCCCAAAGTGCTTGGGAGGTTACAGGAGTGAGATACTCACTGTACCAGCCTTAAAAATCTTAGAGGTAATATAAGATTACTCTCTCCTCATTTAAAGGGAGTTATCACTGGTAGCACGGTGAATACTTTACTAGAATACTTTACACAAAATCAAAAATAAAAACTGCATTTACTCCTGCCCTGTGTTAAATCTTTCTGTCATGTAGCTCACTGCCTTAATGCTGCTGACTCCCTTCCTGTTTTTCTTCTGTTTTTTCCTAATAACCTGAAAATATGAAAGCCACTATTTTTGAAATCTCACATTTCAATAATCCCTTATTGTTTTCAAAGACCTTAACCCATATTAATAATGCAATCCTGATTCCACAGACAAGAGAATAAAAGCACTAAAAAGTGACTGCAACTATCCAGACACAGGCTTGCCAGTGGAGGGCCCCGATATGAAATCAAGTTCACAAACTACTAGTTTAGTAGTTTTTTCCTATTAGGAAATACCAGTTGGAATACTCTGGGATGAAAGATGCTGCAGACATACTCGCTGTTAAAAAACTTTTAAAACGGCCAATTCTGTAGGTGTTTCCACATAATTTCTTCTGCTACCGATTCCTTTGCCTCAGTTCTCTCGAGAGCTAGTTTAGTCACCACTTGCGCTAAGAGCACACAAATCCACTAGCACCAACGAAATGAGGAACACCTATCACCAAACATCTCTTATCTAACATATCAAATGCTAGTTACGTTTTCTTAGCAATAAAGTGGCCACGATTAACACTAAGCACTCGGCAGGCGGTATCGGAGGCTCACACACCCGGGGGACGTCACCCATCCTCCAGAGCGGAGGTGCACAGCCCTGGCTCGGGGCCCCTCACCTTGGCCAGGATGTAGTGCTGGTAGGCCGCCAAGGGCAGCGTGACGGCCCCGCGCACGGCCACCGTGGTGAGGAGAATGCTACCCCACCATGGCAGGCCCGTGGCGGCCTGCGTCCCAAGCAGCACGGCCTCGGCGCCCCGCACCGGCGCCGAAGCGGCCAGGGCCTCGTACCAGCCGCCCGCGCCGGCTGCAGAGACTGACGCCACCGCCCACACCGGGAGACAAGGGGCCTTGGCGCCACTCGGCGGGGCCGGCACCAGCGGCAGGCCCCGAGCCCTAAGCCGCAGTGCGGGCAGCGGCCGCAGCCACCGGCTGGCAAGCCGGTTCAGCATGTCTGCGATACGACGGAAGTCTCTCAGGACACCGGCCTCGCAGACCAGCGACAAGCGCCGGTCACCCAAGGACTCCGCGCGCATGCGCCAGAGACACCAGACATCAAGTGCGGGCGAGCATCTCCCGCAGCCGCGATTGACCTTTCCAGTCAAGCCGGTGACGTCTGTGTCGCGCTGGAAATGACGCAAGAGAAAGGGAAGTCCCGCCTTCACCACGCGGCACTGGGTAAGCCTACTGCGCACGCGCGAAACTTTCCCGCTGCGGGGGTGGAGCTACTCCGAGACCAGACCGGAAGTGCGGAGCCCGGGGTCGGGTCCACGCTGCAGTAGGCCGGGCGGGGTCTTCTTTAGGGAGTGCTCGCTTTGTAACGTTCGTCTTCAGAGTGTATCTTCTGTTGTTTTTTACCGAAACTAATCGTGTCATTTGTAGTGGAATTGCGCTTGGTGGATGGTTTTTGTTACCGGAAGTTGGTCTCCCACCTTTTTACGTGCGCCCGATTGCTTCCGCTGTAGATGATGATAGATTATAGTGCGGGAGACCCAACACGTGGCTGAAATGCTGGCTTGGAGAGCGACACATGCTTTTTGACCCTGAGTATTAATCAGCATCCGTAAGGGTACAGGTCCATCTGTTGCAGGTATTTTTTTCAACCGCACCCGCAAACTGAGTTTCCTTGATGTTTTATCTTCCATTATAAATAGCAAAAAAAAATTTTTTTTTTTTAAGACAAAGGCTTGCTATATCACCTAGCTGGAGTAAAGTGGCACAATCATCACTCACTGCAACCTCCAACACCTGGGCTCAAACTATCCTTCTGCATCAGCATCCCAAGTAGCTGGGACTACAGCTGCTCACCACCACCTCCAAACTAATTTAATTTTTTTTTTGTAGAGACAGGGTCTCACTGTGTTGCCCAGGCTGGTTTTGAATTCCTGGCCTTGTGATCCTCCTGCCCCAGCCTCCCAAAGTGCTGGGGTTACGGGTGTGAGCCACTGTACCAGCCTTTAGAATCTTAAGAGGTAATATAAGATTACCCTCTTCTCATTTAAAGGGAATTATCACTGGTAGCACGGTGAATACTTTACTAGAGCCTACTTGTATCCTATATAAGTTTTGAAGAAGTAAACGGCAGCATTAGATGTCTTTCTGGTTAAAAGGAATACATCCAATCTACATGGACTATATGGGTTTTATAAATAGTTTTGTGTTCATGGCAACAACAAATAAACTGGAATGACATGGAGGAGTTTCCTCACAGAAAGGTCATATGTAGACCTAGAGGCCATATTGTGTTGTGACGAGTAAAACAATGATTTTTGAAAAGGGAGCCTCCAGCAAATGTTGGGTAATGTCAAACTGCAGCTACTGTTCTCCCTACTGCATTGTGCATCTAACCAAAGGTATCAGAGAACTTTTCTCTCTGGATTCTGGAAGTCATCTTCCTTCAAAACTGGCTGATAAATCCATATAAGAATTCTTTATGTGTCTGAACATATCATAATATATCCTATATATAGCCTTTTTCTTAATGAAAAAGCCTCTCAATTTCCCTATCTGTTCATTAAGTTAAAAAAGAAGCAACCAACTGCTACTGACTACTGATTTAACACATTAACTGCCACGTGAGTTGTATTTAACTTACGCTGGTTTTGAATCAGGGCTCGGGACACATATGTAACTCACACTGTCTCTTTACCTTGGGAGCTCCATGGTGCGCACGCAACTCATGCTGCCATGCTGTGGCATACATGTTGTGATTGGTGGCCCCTTGGCCCCTGCAGTTGGTTCCTGAAAAATCTCGTTGATGTTCTTATTGCTATAATTAATATTGCAATTTTATTACATATAACTCATGCACAGAAAACAATAAAAATAATACATTTTTCATTAAATTAGAAAAGATCCCTTGTTTTCAAAGTTTTTCTTCTATTTTCATAATAAAAAAACACTGTGGGGCACCAAGGAAAAAACATTTTTTTCTAGTGAGGCAGTCAATGTGTTTTAAAGTGGAACAAATTCAATTGTAAGTAGAAATTTGTTGACCTAAAAATTGTGAGAATAAGGAAACGACATCCATGCTGCTGCATCCCAACCTTCCATAGAACTGATGACATCAAGAATTAGCCCTTTCACAGTGGCACTTAGCTGAACTTTTAATATTAGAGAGGAAAGTTGTTTGAAAATACAAACCAAACCATATTTATGCATTCACTGTTCATAATCTACTTCGAGTTTTTTGTGTAATTTTTATTATGCTATTTTTCTTTTCTTTCTTTTTGTTACAGCTACCTGAACAGATAAGCCAAGAGTTACAAAGTTATTCTTCAATCAGACTTCATTCTGTGGAGCTACCTCAGGGGTCAGGACTGAGATCTCCTCAACTAATGTAGGTACACCTTTTCTGCTATATAATGCAGTTGCATATTATATTCTTACTTTAAAAAGTAGTCCCTTTAGTTTGCATATTGTGATCTAAATGAAATTTATGATTTAATTTCTGCTAATTTCAGATATAGATGTGTATGGACACATTTTTTCACATGTCCCCTAAAAACAGATTACTTAATCCATTTAATAGGGATGATTAGAACTTGCTATCTGCCTCGGAGAGAATGTTGGGGAAGTGTTTGTCAATTATAAAGCCCAATGCAAAAGTAAGGTATTATCACTGATGTGTATGTACTGTTCATCCAACATTGTGGTATCCTGTATCTTCTGAGTTGCAGAGTAAAAAATGACTATACAAATAATGAGTAAACGAACTGAAAATATTTGTCAACTCTTTGCAAATGAACTTGTGCAACATATTAAAACATTTTTAATGCTAGTTATGTCATTTTTTCCCTTAATTTTATTTAAATTCTTTAAAAACAGACTACATGTTATATTTTCTTTCTACAGTCTCTGAAATTCTTACCCATCGTGGTGCTAAACACAAAAAGGGAGTTTGCCATGGACTGAATGTTTGTGTCCTCCTAAAATTCCTATGTTGAAACCCTAAACCCAATGTGATGGTATTTGGAGGTGGGGCCTTGGGAGGTAATTTGGTAAGAAAGTTTTCATGAATTGGATTCTATAAGAAGGGATGAAAGAGAGATGACTTCTTTTTGTCCCATGTGAAGAAATGGAAAGAAGCCGTCTGCAAACCAGAAAAAAGGCAAACCAGGAACTAATAGGCCAGCACTTTGGTACTGGACATTGTAGCTTTAAATTCCTGTTGTTTAAGCCCCCTAGTCAGTAGTATTTTTGTTATAGCAGCCTGAATTAAGACAGTGTTCAGATTATGAATATAAGCTATCATTATCATGTACATTCACATTTCTCATTTCCCAAATATGCCTTCTGAAATCTTTGTCAAAAAACCTTTAAAAAAATAAATTTTCATGAGCAGTTGTTAAACTGATCCCTTGGAATCAGATTTGGGTTTATTTCATTTTCTCTCTTATATAAGTAAGGCATTACCTTTCAAAACCAAAGCTACTTAATGTACAATTCGCTTTTTTCCTTTTTATTGAAAAGCATCCTCTCGTGTTATCTTTCTTACTATTGTTTTTCAAGGAATGAAGAAGCAAAATTGGCTTTTCCCAAAAGTGTGCATTCGTTTAAAAGTAGAAGTCTAACACGAAACCACTTAGATAGCAGTCCCGTACTTGGTTGAGTTATAAAGGCTTTCTGTCAAAGCCACAGTGGCACATTTTTCTCTATATTCACTTATCCAAAATTCAAGAGTATTTTTACAATCAAGGTGCATAGTAGTCTCATTAAAGCACTAATGCTTTCATCTTAAATTCCAGTCACGTGAATTAATCTACTGCCCTGACTTATTTATGCAAGCATTTATCAATGGGATGTGTATTTTCAGAGATTCAGGAGCATCCAGAATTTACAAAGCATAATGTAAAGCTATCAAACAATATTAAAAGTGTAAAACATCTGGATAGATCCACTTATGTAAAGTAAAAATACATTGAGAAAATGGAATACTGAAATCTCTCTCTTAAAGTGATTAGAAAGTGAGTTGGTTTTTCATTAACTATTATAATAGTGATTTTAAATTTTGTTTTTTAAAAGAATGTTTTGGTATGCTTTAAATGTTCTGTAACCCCAGATTTGTGGAAATGACAGTATTTTTGAAAAACATCAAAGTCAAAATGATTAAATCAGAAGATCTGAAGAGGTTTTGTGATCTTGAATTTTCTTATTTAGCCACTTTTGTACTGTTCTAAAAATAAAGTGAATAATATAGTGTGCAAAATAATTTCATAAAATGTATGTTTTGGTAACGAGTCAAAAGACAAAAGAAAAATGACTGTAAGCATAGCAATTTACCAAGAAATTAATTTCACTTACTAATAAAAATGCTTTTATTTTATAGTAATGGGAAACAAAAGGTAAAATTTCTTTTACATAAATACTAAAATCAGTTTTTGGTAATATGTTGATTATTTATTTTGAAGTATGTGTTGAAAAGACATGAAATGAGGATTTTGTTGGGAATGGTAAACAAAATCATCTCTAAAATGGAATTAGAGGTTGGTATAAACAGATTACATAATAATTGGGATATTAACTGTTTTGGGACTTACGGTATGAACTAACCCAAGTGTTATTTCCAAGAGTTAAATCACTTCTTAAAAGAATAAGAGAAAATAAATATATCATGTAGTCTGTATATACACATACCATATACTTTCAAAAAAAAAAAAAGACCTGCATGGTCTCAAAAAAATGTTTTTTATTATTCAAATAAAAAAATTCACTGCATTACATCTGAAATATAAAAAATGTATCTGAAAAATGTTCCTAGTACAGACTTCCAAAACCATGGTTTTGTACTAAACAAACCTGATCCCAAAAACTAAATATGGAGCATTCCAATCTATACCCATTGCCCCACAGTTTTGAAGTCAAGAAAATATAGAGTTTCCTCCCCCTCCCCTTTTCTAGTAAGACAATCCATCTTAAGAAATTCAGTGTTGTGAAAGAGCACAACTCATGTGTTATAATAAATATTGGGTGGTATTGGTTCTCCAGCAGGATCATCTTAAATAGAAAATAACCCTAGTTAACACAGGAAAGAATTAAGCAAAAAAAAAAAAAAAAATATATATATATATATATGTCTATATGTATAGAATTGTGGCAAAAGTCATATATAAAATACTCTGTTAAGTTTAACATTGTTATACCCCTTCCTTAGTAAAGTGCTATAATTTTATTTCATAGCTGTATTTGTAGGATATTTGTAGCTCTTCCTTTACATTTGAACATATTAAACATAGGTGGGAAAAAATTTTTATATATTTTAAGACAACCTCCTAAACTAAAAGAAATGAATGTACTGTTTATAAATTTCTGGATACATTTGAGAAGTCATCTTTTTACTCTTTAATCAGGTTAACAGGGTCAAGATACCACTTCATGTACTTGAACAGCCAAGAAACCATATTAAAATCATCAGTTCTGGGTAATTTATCTGAATTTTTAGCTAATTTTTTTTACCAGTGTGGACTTTGTGTCTAACTTTAAAAAAGACAAATTGATATATACATTATTTCATTTTTATGCTTACTTTCTTTTACATTTCAACCATATATTTTATTTTTCCATATGAGACAGGGTAGGACACATATTCTTCTTGGATACATTACTGTTTATTGTTTCAAGTGGATGGAATATATAAATCCCACTGAGTGATTTAGTGTGGCCCTGTATCTTACATAAACAGGTTAAATGGAGACTTTATATTATAATCTGTGTATTCATGTATCTACTATAAACTGTCTTAATGACAAATGCAAAATTTCTTTTATTATTTGACTAAAGTTAGCTGTTGATCCTTTTCATTGATAATATACAAGTGTAAAAAGCCAGAAGCCTTAAAATTGAAAAAAGAAATAAGATATTTTCCACTAAATTACTGAAAATTTAAATTTTATATCGACTCTTCATGACTGGAAAGCCAATGTTAAGAATCAGTATTTTCCAATATAAAATAGTACATTGAATTTTTTTTAATAATAAACAGTATAGTAAGAGCTTGTATATGCTGACTGGGAACAGTGGTGGCTTTTTAAGTTCTCAGAGAATCTAATTTTATAATTAGAAGAAACCCCTGGTGATGATGAAGATGCTTCACATATCTCTATAGCAGCCATTACAGTGAAAACCTTTACAAAATTTTTTCACTATCAGCAAGAGAATTTTACTGGTATTAGTGGTAAAGGTAAGGAGAGGGAAAAAAGAGTGAAGAGATAAGTGTATATTAGTTTTAAAAGTGTGAAAAGTGTATAAAGTGTGAAACTTTATACACTTCATAAGTGTATAAAGTTTTACAAGTGTAATAATAAAAAGAAATGAAAAAGTCAGAAATTTCTTCTATATGTGGCTTGCTACAAACAAACCCAAAAGAGAGCAAGATGGGTACTTTAAAAGCCATTGCAGGGAAACATCCAGTGATAATGCCCATTATTTTACTTTATATACTTAAATTACACAAGTAGAAAAGTTATGCTTATTAATAGTTTAATGTATGAAGGAAACATCCAGATTTCTGAATATGAAGGTACATATCTCACATTAATTTAAGTCTACATAAAGTAGAGCCTCTATACTGACATATTGAAATTTACTTTCTGCTTAGCCTTTTCTGTTATGTAAACAATTGTACATTTATTTGCCATTCTAAAACTTCAGGATCAAGTTTACATAATTTTGCTAAATTTCCGTGTTTGCTCAGAAGCAGTTTACAGTACTAAACCAACCAGCCAAAGAACAGCTTCAACAGAAAGTTATGTCCAAAGGGGAAAAGGGAAAGAAAAAAAGAAAAATGATAAGAAAAATGCTAACTAAGGTAAAACGGATGATGATGGGGAATGGGCAGTCACAAATGTTCACAGAAAATAGGTCAGTTAGTAAGTTCTTCTGCAAAAAGCCTACACACTTCAGTCAAGCACATCAGTAGAATGATTTGGGAGCATAAATTTTTTTTCGGCCACTTGTGATTTCCTCTGAATGAAAAGGAATCTGCAGGCTAACAAGCTGATCCTCATCAGCCAAGCTGGTTCATATGCACACTGTTCATGTGAGGTGCCCAGGGTCCAGTCCACACCTATGAATATAGAACAGGCATTTTATTAAGTATGAATTTAACATATATTGGATTGAAATAAAACTCTTAAAAACTAAAAAAGTGCTCCTAGTAAGCTATATGGACTAAAACAGCTAAATCTCATTCAATTTGCAACATACTAGGAAATAATAGGACAAAACAATGATAAAGCCACTTGTAAACTGTTACTTTCCTACCTTTCTTCTTATCCCTCAAATAGAATCTGATTTACCACCATTTAAAAAAGTCATTACCTGGGGGTGGAGCAAGATGGCGGACGAATAACACCGCCAGACAGAGTGTCTCTGCAGAAAAGACAGATTCTAGCAGAAATTAGAGGAAAGAAGCAAGAAGACGAGCATACAGCGGACAAGGGCAGGAAGGAGGGGTACCTGAGACCCTGGGAGACTCCACGGGAGGAGGCTGCGGAAGAGAACTGGAGGCTGAGACCACCGGACCAGCCCGGAGACCAGCGGCAAGGACACCACCTAACGCCTCAGAAACTAAACAAGGTGTGTGAATACCCAAACAATAACTTAAGGAAAGAAACAACAACTGATCAACATGGGAAGAAATCAGCGAAAGAACTCAGGAAAAATGAACAACCAAACGGAAAACACACCCCCAAAGAGGAGCACCAGCCCCCTAGAAACGGACACCAACCAAAATCAGGCAACCAATATGACAGAGGAGGAATTTCGTATGTGGATCATAAGAACACTCACCATCTCTCTCCCAGTCTGAACAACAACTTCAATAACCAACACAAAGAAACCGCAAAAAGCCTCCAGGATATGGGAAAGAAATAGACACAATGAAGAAAAGTGTACCGAACTCCTAGAAAAGAAGAATCAATCAAGGAACTACAAAATACAGTGGAAAGTCTCAAGAACAGGGTAGATCAACAGAAGAAGAATCCCAGAGCTTGAAGATAACACCCTCCAATTAAATAAATCAGTCACAGAAATAGAGCAGAGAAACAAGAGAAAAGAGCAAAGCCTACAAGAGCTGTGGGATTATGTGAAGAAACCTAACGTGAGCGTCATAGAGGTTACCAGAAGGGGAAGAAGACAACACTCAAGGTTGGACAAGCTGTTTGAAATATAATAGAGGAAAATTTCCCAGCCTTGCTCAAATCTTGATATACAAGTTCAAGGCAGGCTCAGAGGAACCCTGGGAGATTCAATGCAAACAGGAAGACGTCACGACATGCAGTCATCAGACTA